CTGCTGCTGCTGCTGCTGCGACTAGAATAACAATGATAGGCAAGCAAAGAATCTCAATGATGGCAAAAAACATACTAACAATGATACTAACAATAATACTAGTACTATGACTGAAGCGAATGGTAGTAAAAGTACCAATGATAACGATAATCATCTTCATCATAATTATACCTGTAATTAGCACAATCACAACAATGATAATGATAACCCGGAAACGACTAAGACGAATACTAGTAGCAATCATCCAGGTACGGCATTTCCAATCCCCCTGCTCTCGGACTCTCCAGGTCTCGGTGCCTGCGCGTCCTCGCAAGGTCAAAGCTGGCCTGGCATGTCCAACTGCATCTACGGAAGATTTGTACAGGAATCTTAACATGATTTGGAATGAACCAGGTAGAATCTTCGAGCCTCCTGCCCCTAAAGCGACAAATAAAGTACGAATTCGAGGCCTTCGCCTGTCGCCGCCACCACCGCCGCCGCCACCGCCACCACCGCGACGGCTCCGGCTGCGGTCCCTGCGGTGTCCACGGTCGGGTGGTCCCCGCATCCTTCGCAAGGCACAGCGGCAAGCGACTGCAATCACAAGTAGCAGCCACCTCGCACCGCGGTCTGGATAGCGGCCGTGCCGATCGCCACTGCGTGCCTGTCGAAACAACGCTCACCGGAACATCTCCTTGGATGTGCTCGCAGGATTGCGGTTGAGGCGAAACCAATCGCCTGGCGATCTCGCAGCAGCCGAGATCGCTCGTCCTGCCCCAAGCTGAAAGTGAGACCAAGCGCCAAGAGCCCAGCCATTTCAGATCTGCAGAACGCTGCCACAAGTACGAGCCAAACCTATTGCAACATCGCCTGAGCTCGTGAATATGCATAGAGACACACCTGCTAGAGGCGATTATCCTGCCACCAAAGTATATGTTTTGACCCTCAACGCCGTGCCTGGTCAATGAGCTTGGCGTCGACAGTCGCTCCATCGACATCCATGCCGTTCAGTTCCTGGCAAGGCTTGCGAGGTAGAGGGCTCAAGATGTCTGACAGTAGTAGCGATCATGATTATGTTGATTATGATTATGCTCATTGGTACTAGTATTTGTAGTCATCATGTTAGCCGCCTGAGATTGCAGGTGAGAACCTCCACTTCTTCGTTTCAGTAGCTCCAGCTTAAAGGTCCATATCAAGCTGCATCAAGGTGCATCAAGGACTGTTCGGACGCAGCCCTGTGCAAACACCAAAAATTGACACGAGCACCGCACAATCTAAACGTATTCGGCCTTTTCATCGCTATTTGTCGGTCTCGGAGACATAGACCCACACTTCTACAACGCTGTCACCAGAGGTGAACACCCAAGCCACTGAAGATCCTTGAAGTTCCGTACCTTGCTTCTCAGTCTATAGTAGGACCCCTCAAGAAGGTACCCCTAGTGTTCTGAAACTCGCAGGTATTATATTATAATATAGTATAGTATAATATAATATAATATAATATAATATAATATAACATAATATAATATGATATAATATAATATAATATAATATAATATAATAGAATATAATATAATATAATATAATATAATATAATATAATATGATATAATAGAATATAATAGAATAGAATAGAATAGAATAGAATAGAATAGAATAGAATAGAATAGAATAGAATAGAATAGAATATACTAGAATATAACAGAACAGAATGTAATACGATTATGCTGTAAATAATGAGTATATAT